TGCGACTGCATCGCCTCGAACCGGTTGCGTCCCGTGCGCTGGCGCAGGAAGTCGTACAGCAACCCGCCGCAATTCAGATCGAGCTCGTCGACCCACGTCGTGTCCGGGTAGCCTTTCCATTTGACTTCGAACTCGCGTCGCGTGCGCCCATACCGGGTAGCCCGCCCCTCGCGCACATTCACGATCTTCTCGACCTCGAAGACGTCGTCTTCCAGCTCGCGCGTGGCTTCCCAGCTATCCTCCGGCAAGAGCTCCTCGTCGAAGTCGAAGCGCTCCTCGGCCGGCACCGTCATCTGCGTCGCGGGTCGCGACGGGAATTCCCGGACGGGCTTCAGCTTGGAGATGTGGACGATGGGGTACAGCTGATAGGGCGTACCCGTCGTCTCGAGGCGCACTGCGAACGCGCTGACCAGCTCGGCGACGCGGAAGGGTCCGTGCCGCATGTGCGCGAGTTTGCGCGCATACCCCGGCTTCACCCGATCCAGGTACAGCCAAACTTGCGAGCCCGTCGCGATCTCATGTCACGTCGCATTTTCAGTTTGTCGACGCGCTCTCTCTTCGACGGCTTCTCGGACTAACTCCAACGCTTGTGCCCTTGCCACCTTGTAGTGTCGCTGGATACGGAGCCTCCACCGCCTCGCCTCGGCGTCCCGGGTCGACGTGTTCCCGACGGCCAGCGTCGCTTCCAGCGTTGCTCGAGGATCCCAGCCGTGCACTAAGAAGAACGGGGTTTCATTCCTCGTCCGGTCATGCGACGTGTTTAGCGCGAAGGTAAGACGCTCGGCGTATTCGTCCCAGTCGCGTTGGTCGACGTCTGCGATGTACATCTTGATCGCTCTTGTAACCGTCTGCACCATCCGTTCTGCAGCACCGTTGGCTTGGGGACGATAAGCAAGCGTCGCTCGCTGTCTCTGACCCATGAGTTTGCTGAACGCCTTGAAGAAGCCGGACATGAAGCCCGGCTCGCGGTCGTGGCGGATAGCCTCGCTCGCGCCGAAGCGTCTGAACACCGCCTCCTCGTACGCCTCGGCCACCGTCTGCGCGGTTCGTGTTGCATTCGCTTTGACCACGACGAACCCCGTGAAGAGGTCGACGCAGACTAACAGCTCTGTGTTGCCTTTGTAGGATGCCGGCAACGACGGAATATGGTCCATGGCAATGACCTGGAACGGGTACGTCGCGACGATGTTGCCCGGCAACTCGCCCTGGATGGTCGGCCGACCCTTTCCGGTCTCGCAGTCGGTGCATTCGCCGACGTAGCGCTGGACGCTTCTGAAGATCCCTGGCCAATGGAAGTGGCGCCTTACGCGTTGGTACGTGCGGCCAATACCCTGGTGTCCGCCTTCCAGGCTCGCGTGACAGTGGTGGAGTACATCTTCCCGAAGAGTCTCTAGGATCACCAGCTTCATCATCACATCGCGATCCTCGGCGGAATCGTCGCTTCTCGGCTGGTAGTAGAGCAGCCCGCCTTCGCCCTCTTCGTACTGAGGCGCAAGCTTTTGGCAGTTCTTCACCTCGCGCCGAGATAGGTCTCCGACGTCGCCGCGGAGATACTTATTGAGGTTGACGATCCAGACCTCTTCGTCCTGGGCGACACGGATGCAGTCCAGGCGCAGTCGTTGCACCACCAGCTCCTCCAGGACTTCTGGAGGTCGGACCCTACGTTTTGTCGTGCGTGCGGCAGCCGAGCGCGTCGTCACAGCGCGGACTTGTGCTGTCCCGCGTCCCGCGTCCATGGCCTTCCCGGCGGGGTCATTTGCGCCGCGCGTTTTCGCGTCGCGATTTTCCGAGTCCAGGTTTTCTGCGTCGAGATTATCCGCGTCGGGACTCGCTGGAGACGCCATCCCGGGACTCGATGCCCGTGGTCGGATGAGTTCTTCCAAGCGATTCAGCGTCTTCAGATCTTGAATCTCTTCGGGGCTGTGCGCGTTGTGGCCTCCTTGACGCTGCAGAGCATGTCCAGCTAGCATGTCGGCACTCGCGTTCCAGTCTCGTCCTACGTGGAAGAGTTCGTGGCGCGGCCATGCCTGGAGTGCGTTTCGCGTCTTTTGTCGCAGCAGCTTCAGCCCCGGGAACTTGCAGTCCATCTCGTCCCGCATCTGCCTGATGACAAGGTTGGAGTCTCCGCATACGACGAGTCGGGTGACGTCGTCGAGCTCCCGTTGACCGTGAGGTCCGTCGCATATCCCGACGCGGCGCGCACGATCTCCCAGTTCGGCAGCTGCCAAATGACGGCACTGTATGCTCCGCCTTCTCGCTTCGCCTTGGCCGATCCGTCAAAGCTCAAAACGTGCAAGACCTCGTCGCGCGCCACGTCGGGGACTGGAATGACTACAATGCTGGACGCCCGTCTCCGTGGGGCGATCTCTTCTAGCGCCGCGTCGACGAAGGCTCGCGGGGTAATGCTCGCGGCCAGCGCGCCGAGGAGTTCTTCTTCTCCCTTCATGGATCGGCAGATTTCCAACTTCCACGGCGAGAGGATCGCGGCCCACTGTGACAGTCGCCCCTGTAGTCCTTTGGACCGGGACAACCAGGCGAGTGTCGTGTGACGTGTCAAGACGCGGACCGGTCTCCCTGCTAGCATCGTGTAGCACTCGTTTAAGACGCGCAACAGGGCCAAGATCTCCTTTTCGACGATGTCGTAGTTCAGCTCGTTGGGCTTCAACGTACGACTGGTGAACTTCACAGGCATGTACACTTCGTCGTGGACCTGCGTGAGCACTCTGAGATGGCCCAGTCGCTGGCGTACACGATCACGACGGATTCTCGGTTCGCGTCGAAGTGCTTCAACATTGGGGTCTCGGCGAGTTTTGCCTTGGGCGCGTCGAAGGCGCGCGTCGCGTGCGTCCACTTCTCATGTCCGCGGACTTCTGGATGCGTGACGTACTCGCTGAAGTCGGTCTCCGTCAGCGAATACAGCGCGGTTGCGTACACCGCAAAGTCTGCAATGAACCGGTGGTAGTAATTGAGGCTACCCAAGAACGATTGCAGGCCCTTGAGCGTGCGCGGGAACTCGAGCGACGTCAGTGACTCCAGATTCTTCGGCTTCGCCTCGAGACCGAGTCCTGAGACTCGGTGGCCCAGGTAGTCGCCCTTGGACATGCCCCACTCGCTCTTCTCGACACTGATGGACAAGTGCCACTGCTCGCAGACATCCAGCAAGCGTTCGATCTTCTCGCACAGGTCGTCCCACGACGTACCCCCGATGAGGATGTCGTCGATCTACGACCTCCGTCCCAGAACGGAGTGAATACCTGGCTTCACCGGTTCGCCGTCTTCAAAGACGTACCGAGTGCTGCCATTCGGAGACAGCTTCATGAACCCGTAGAGCGCGTTGTCGATCAAGCGTTGGTAAATCTGCGGCGCGTTGCACAGGCCGAACGGCATACGCAGACATTCGTACAGTCCCATCGGCGTGATGAAGGCTGAGGTGAGCCGGGCCCGGTCTGTCATGGGGACGACCCAGAAGCCGCTCGCCATGTCGATGGAGCAGTACCACAGATACTTGTCCAAGTCTTCGAGCAAGTCGTTGACGAGCGGCATGAGGTAAATCATCAACTGTGTCAGCCCGTTGATGAGCCTGTAGTCAATGCAAAGCCGGATATCGACGCCGTTCTTCTTTATGATCACGACAATGGGCGACGCCCACGGCGACTTCGACTTCTGGATCATCTTCGCGCTCAGCAGCCCTTTGATCAAGCCGGCGACCTTCTCTCGAAACTGCGGCGGGATTTTCCGGACGCGTTGCGCGACGGGTTTTGCGTCGCCCACGTCGATGTCACAGACAACACCCAGGGCGGCCGGCGGCAAGGCGTTGCCTTTGCCGATCAACCACTTCCGTCGCTTCCAGATGATTTGGCGTAGCCGCGTTTCTTGTCTCGCGGCTTCCTCGGGCGGGAGTCCAGTCGGCATGCCGACCTTCAAGTCCTCGTTCTTCACCTCGGCGGTCAGCGAGAGGTCTGGCAGCACTGCCATCTCAGACTCGAGATCCTCTACGAAGAGGTCGGACCCCTCGTGGATGAGGACTGCGTCGTCTTCCTCCTGCTCATCAGGTTTCGCCTCGCCGAAATTCGGCTCGGCGGGGTTTGGTCCGTCGAGTTTTGGCTCGGCGAGTTCCGACTCCGGCGATTCTTCCATCGCAGCGCTTCCAGCCACAGTCGGAGGCATATCGGGTTCGCTTTCCACCGCCTCCTCGTCCGTATCCGGCTTGTGGTCGTCGGGTGGCAAGTCTACCCCCCTTCCCTTCAGCGCTTCCGCGACAGCCGCCAACACTGGGGCCACGGCGCGTCGCGTTCCGAGTTGTCTCGGCTCCGGGCGCAAGATGGCTTAGGCGTCGGGTATGAGGGGCGATCCGTCATCGATCCGTCGAGCTCGGCTGGGATCCAGTTCTCCTCCGCGTCGCGCGTCGCGCCGTACGCCAGATTCTGCCACTGCTGGTACCGGGTGGAGCCCAGTCGGACGAATCCACGGTTCCGAGGCTGGCCGTCAGACGGCGTCCACCACCCAAGCGTTTCATGCGCGTCGAGGGTTATCGCTGCGTCTCCGATGTTCGTGACACGCAGGTACGTTTTCTTTCCGACTCTCCCCTTGACAAAGGTAGTCACCCACGACTCTGCCCGTGTCACCCACAGGAACAGCGCATTTCGATCCGGCCTCAGCAAGACTTCATGCGTGTCTCGTGGTTCGAGCCTCACAGGCGTCTAGACGTTGATCGGGTGCATCCGTGCGCCGTATAGCGGTCTTCGTCCGATCATCTGGATATGCACCTCATCGGGGAGGCACGCCGTGCCATCCGCAGTGTCGATGCGCACTCCAGCGGGCACCATGAAGTTCATTCCCAGGATTGCGTGTTGGCCGACCAAGTCGCCGACCCACAGGTGCATGTAGTACACCAAGTTCCCAGCCAAGGTAATCTTGACTCTGGTTCTCCCCACCGTGTAATATGTCTCATCACGAATTCCCACACACTCTTGCGTGATCTCCGTGTCAATCAGGCAGCCTACCTCACAAGCAAAGGTGGTGTCCAGGATGGACACCTCGGCACCTGTGTCGAGCAATAACACAGCACGGCAGTTGTTCAGCTTTCCATGAATCTTGGCCTGCTTGTACCACTTGTGCGGCGCGTAATGTTTCCAGTATCCGCGTCGCTCTCCTGGTTGCAAGTCGATCTCGTCCAGGGGTGGTTCACGTGCAAACTCGTCGTCCGTCGTACGTCGGACCGCCGAGATTCGCGGCGCGCGTTCTTGCGTGGTACGTTCCGGGTTGGATTCACATGTATTATCATTCAGGGAAGTCGGGCTCTCACTAACCACCTCTCGCGACTTCTTGGTCACATATGCATAGACGGAAACAGGTCGCTCGTCTCGTACTGGTTCCCAAGCCAGCGAGCGTCCTAGTTTAACATCTTCTCGGGGGTCGGCGGCAGCATTACCGCGTGTTTATTCGGGTCAAACCACTGGCGCAATTGGTTGAAGAACTCCTCCATCGGGCATTCTCCGGCTTAGTGCACGTCACCGCAGGCCTTGAACACCCTCAAGCATCGCTCCGTCGGGTGCTGGCCACCACACTTCTGACACGTCAACAACTTCCAGCAGTCTCCTTCGGCGTGGCGACGTGAACCACAGTGGCGACACCGCGGGCGGTCGCGTCCCGAGTCGTCGGGATCGAAGTTGCGACGCGCCGGCTCTCCCGGCGGGGCCTGTCCCGCGACGAACAACTTGGCGCGTTCTTCGTCCGCCTCGTCTTGGTCGTACTGGCGATCGTCGCTGTCGCAACTTTCGCGTTCCGAGTCGTACTCGTCCGACGCGACGTGAATCGTATGCACGGCGCGCGCCGGCTGAGTCGGCGGGGTCGGCGCCTTTTGGCGGAACTTGTTTGAGCCGAAGAGAGTCTTTTTCTGGTGAACCAATCGACGTTGTCGGGCACGCAGCTTCTTCTCCAGCGCCTCGGAGTCGGCGACCTCCATCAGCGTGAGACGCGAGGCGAGTTCGGCCTCCTGCGTGTTCAGCGTCCGGATGAAATGCTCGACGTGTTCGCGCTTCTCTTCAGTCGTGCCCTCGGCGTATGGGGTGTTGGCCCTCATGCCCGCGACGTTGAGCCGGTACAAGTAATCCAGAGGGGTCTCGTCGGGGCGCTGAGCCGCATGGTAGTAGCGACTGGCCATTGACACGCCCTTGCCGCAGTACTGCACCCGGAATTGCTCCATCAGCTCGGTCCATGATTTCTTGACCTTCCTGGGCAACTGGAGATACCATTGGCGCGCAGGACCGCTCATTAGATCGCTGAACTGCCCGCACACTTCTTCGCCCGTCATCCCGTCGCGCCGCGCGGCGGACTTCAGACGGTTGAGCCACAGTCTGGCTTTCTCTTCGCTGGCGTCCCGTCCCGAGAACTCTTTCAGTTCGGAAGATGCTGAGAGGCGTACGCGGGCGAGGGCTACGCCGCCGGCTGTCGCCGTCGAGACGGCGGCCGCGGTTCTTGGCACTCCGATGTCCAAGTCGAACAGGTCATCGTGGCCTCGTCCGCGTCGCGTCGAGTTCTGGACCTCGTCGAAGAACGCGAACTGACCGACTCCATGGCGACATCCGCTGCCTCCTGGGGGCGAGCCACCGTGGGTGTGGGATTCGAGGGCGGCTTCGGCCCCGTCGAAATTGCGGCCGTGTCGGCGCGCGGGGTGTTCATCACTGTCGTCTGCATCAGCCTGATGATAGATTCTCTCAAGGCCTTGGGAAGCACCTCCTCGGCGGGTTTCGTCACCTCTGTGCGTGTGGGCGCCGCGGGTAGCTGCATGATGCGCGGCGGCCGGTTCATGGGCATGCGCTTGGGCGACTCGAAACTGCTGTCGGAGTCCACGCTCGATTGGTATCGAGGTGGAGGCGAGGGCGTGGTCGTCGAAGTCTGGGCTGGACCCGCCGAGGGGCTCGGCGCGTCTTGGCCCGTCGCGGAACTCGTCGCGTCTTGTTTGACGGATCCGGCGAGAATCGTCAAGGGCTCCTGCACGACGCGAATCGCACGTAACCAAGATTTGAGGTCCCAATCGCACAGCCTCTCCATCTCGAAAGCCCTCAGCACGAACCTCGAGTCACGCAGCATCTGGAAGAGAGTCGGCGAGGCGTGGGCACCGCTGGTGAGACTATCGAAGTCCGGCGCCACGACGGGGCCTGTGAAGTTGCTCATCAGCATGGGCTTGAGGAAGACCGAGATGGGGTCTAGTTCTAGCAGACGGAAGAGCACCGTGCGCGCCACGACGTACCGTACCTCCTCGACGGTGTACTGACGTCCCGTGTTCTTGCCTTGCGGCTTGGACAGCGACTCCTCCGCCGAGTCCGGCGCGCGCAATTTCCTATTCTTCCTCTTGGGTGACTTGCGCTTCGTGTTTGCCTTGGCGGTGGGTTGTTGTTGGTCGTCGGCTTTTGCAGGCTTCCGACCGGTAGGACCGCGACTTGCGTCGCGGCCCTTCGCGGCTCCCTCGTCGGGAGCCGCATCGGGAACGGCAAACTGTTCTTCGTAGCCCTCCTGGTCGTCGCTGGCCCCGTGGCCTGTCGTGAAGGTTCCCTCAGAGCTCCACGAGGCGACAGGTCTCTCACTGTGCTCTCTTGCGGTTGGCGACCTTCCAGCCGACTGCGCACCTGCCTCCGATGCCTCTTCGATCGTTGGCCCGTCATTCGAAGTAGTACTCCGGGTCGCGGCATCATTGTGTAGTAGCGCCCTCGCAGAAATCTCGCGAATGCGATCTAGCACAAACTCGGCGCGTCTGGATAGCGGTCGCGCCGAGCAAATTATTCCCGGTTGTTGGAGTAGCGTATCTTCGAAATACAGGCCCAAGTCTTCGCAGGCTTCGGAGTTGGGGGTTCTTGTGTTGACGCTTGTTCCTTGTCGTAGGGCGTCGAGCCTTGGGCGTGCGGCGTTATCGGGCCGGCGTTGCCTCGGCGTTCGCGTCGGTCGTGCGGCGTTATCGGGCCGGCGTTTCCTGGGGCTTGTGTGGCGTTATCGGGCCTACACGGGGGTCTTGTACACGGCGGTTATCAGGCCAGTGCGGTCCTTCGCCTAGGCACCGCGTTATCGGGCGCCCACCTAAACGGTATACGTTTAACGTGCCTTTGTTCCAGCACGGGTCTGTGGGGGGTGAGCACCCGAACCAGCAAACGACGGGGGGCCGCGATATCGAGGCGGCTCTACTTGCCGGCGCTTGGTGGTTCCCCTGGAACCTCGGAGAAGACGGGAGGTCTTTGTGGTTCAGATAAATTTCGGGACTGAGTCCTTACCCTATCCTATGTCCTTGCTACTGGCTACTCTGTACTACCGCTTGCTAAGCCTACCGTTCTGTGCCTATCCTTACTTCTGTCGTGCTTGCACTACCGTGCTTCAACCTGATTTACGTGGCGCAATCAAGATCTTACCTCGGCGCGTTTTGGTCGGCGGGGGTTAGGGCGCGTTTTGCTCGGCGGGGTTTAGGGTCGGCGCGTTTTACAGAACCGGGCGCCCTGGTCGACCCGTCGGATGATTACGCGTCGCACTGGATTCTGGCACCGTGTCTCACGGCCCATCACCCACGCCGACTTTCCCGTCGAGCTCGGCCCTGCGTCGCCCATCCATCCACGTCGCGTTCCATCAGCCGCGTCGAAGTCCATCACTCGCGTCCCGGCGCCTTATTCCTCCGGCGCCCGGCACGCCCACTTCTTCCGCGGGGTACTACGCCACAAGATGTTAGGTGTCCAATATCACATGGGAGTGAGTTGAGAAGCGCTGCGACTCGCTCGCCGGGGTCGGCATCGTGTACCCCGGACCAAGGAAGTACGGGCCATCTTCTAGAAGAAGCCAAGTTGCGCAACGATATCGCGCCGCGGCCAAACTACCTGCGCTCCGTCTCTGCGTCAAGACCGCTGCAGGCATGCACCTGAACGCCCGTGCCCGGAGCGATTTACTGCGGATGTCTCGGAGAGCTACTCTGGCTCAAGCTATGGCAAAATATGGCATCGCGCTGCGGTCGGACAATTATTCGCTGTCGCGACCAGGCGCGGCGGGACCCGAGTTCCTTCTGGACACCCCGTTGCAAAAGGCGCTATCGGAATATGCACGGCAGTCGGGCATGATACTGCCAGCCTTTGTGGAGCTGGTGCGCGGACAGACGGCTGATGAGTACCGGCCTAACAAGAACCTGGTCCCAGGCGTACTGAACGAAGTATGCAAGGGTTACGCACATCTGGAAGAGCTCCAGAGAATCGTGCAGGGCGGCGTTGAAGTTCGGCTAAGCAAGCCACCTGCACGGCAGGTACAGCGGCCACCAAATCACGGGTCGGCGCGAGATCGCCTTAATGTGCTCCGCAAGAACATTCGCAAGGAGCAGGATGCTGGGCGGTGCCTCGTACTTGACCGCGATCTCCTCAAGCAATGGCCCGAGATTATTATCAGCCCCTTCGGGGTGGTGGGCAAGGGCAATGAGGACGCAAACGTGTCGGGTAGGACGATCCACGATCTGTCATACCCCGAAGGCACTTCCATCAACGACTACACGGATCAGGACAGCATCACCAAGCCGGAGTACACTCACTGCTACGCGGTGGCGGCCGAAATCCTGAGGTCCAAGCACGCTCACCCAAGGACCCGGGTGTGTGTGATGGCTGGTGATGTGGCGTCTGCTTTCCGCAACATCAGCATTCACAGCAACAGCGTGTATCTTTTCGGCGACCACATCGAGGAGGACGATGTCATCGTGATCGAGCTCGCTGCGCCATTCGGTTGGACTGGACCACCGGGTTTCTACGAGATTGCTGGTGGTGCTGTCGCTTGCGTGCACGGTTCACACACGACTGGCGAGTACCCGGGTGGTGTCTTCAATTATCACTGGGTTAACGACCACATCAATGTGGCTGCGGACATTGGCACCTCCTGCGAGGACGTTGATCGGTCCCTACGGTACGCTATGGTAGCAGTCCTGGGAGCTGACGCTATCAACACTAAGAAGTTCACCGACTGGAACACGCGCCAACGTGTACTGGGCCTCATGTTCGACACGGTGGCGGAAACGGTCTCGATGCCAACGGAGAAGATAATCAAGGCACGCAATATTGTGGCGGCTGCGTACTCTGCTTCATCTCTTTCAAGGCAAGCCTACCGGTCGCTGATGGGTAGCCTCCGGCACGTCGCAACATGCATCCGTGCTGCACGGCCGTTTCTCCAGCGTCTGCGCCGACGCGAAAGTTATCTTCAGCGGTTTCAGCGTGTTCCGATTACGCCGGACATGCAACAAGACCTGATATGGTGGTGGTGTGTGCTCCACACTCCCCGCCTGAACGGCGTGTCGCTAGAATACTTCAATGCTCTCCCAGTACCCGATATTGTAGTCGAAATGGATGCGTCCGATTATGACCTCTGAGCGCTGGATGTATCATCGCAAGTGGCCCTCACGTACCGGTTCTCGGACAGCGAGCGTGCCTTGATTGCGGCTTTTAAGGATGGCACGCCCAACGGCTTCGATATCAACTGTCGGGAGCTGCTCTCGTGCGCTTTCGCGGTGCACGGTGGGGCTCCGGTGCCTCGCGCAACGAGCGCCCACGCCACCTTCAATTTCGCATCGACAACACTTCTGCGGTCGTACTTCTCGGCGGCTTCGGCAACGTCGCGTAACAGTAGCACCACATCCAGCGGGTAGATTTCTTCATATCGCTGCTTGAACTTGCCCTGCCTCGTCGAGGGGTCCAATGGCGAATCGTTGCGCACCTCCGTCCTGAAAGCCTCGACGTACAATTTTTGCTCCAGCAGCGCCTTCTGTACTGACGACCAGCGCATTTGGCGGTGATGTGGGCGTGGGGGATCAGATGCACGTCCCGCAGCGTCACCTGCAGGTTGGCCACGATGCGGGCCGTGAGTCTCGAGACGAAGGTGCCCTCGTCCTCCTCGGGCTTCTGCTGCTCGTGCTGCTCCTGACCTGGGCCAACGCGCGCGGCGAAGCGGCGGTGCTGGCGCAGCAGCTCCAGCTGATTCTTCTCGGCCGCGCTGCGCGGCTCCGTGTTGGGCACCACGAGCGCCAACACGCCCTCGAGAGTGATGGCCATGCTGGCGCTGCCAACTGGTTCCAGGGCAGGCGCACCAGCACGCGGCCCACGCGGCCGCTGGTCACGGCTACGGGCAGCTGCAGCTCGGCCAGCGAATGCGGCTTTAGTGACAGGTCGCGCAGCTCCAGCTCGCCACTCCACAGCCCCACGACCAGCGAGTCGCTGCGCAGGCCGGCCACATACTTGCCCAGCTGCGCCTCCAGGATCGACGAGATGATGGCCTTGGCCATGGCTGCGGGCGGCATCGATAGCGGCGGCAAGGGCCGATGGTAGTGTACAGGATCCGCGTAATCAGATTGTAGCCATGTTCCGTGAAAATAGGTGCGAGCGAAGTAGTGGTTTAACATCAGCACGTCGTACGAGACCTTGACTAGAGCGGTCTGCTCGGCCGTGAAGCGAGGCAAACGCTCACCGACTCGCTCGCGCATGACGGGCGGGTAGTCGCCGGAGGTGAGGGGCAGCAGCTACCAGCCAAACTTGAAGTTCATCGCGCGCTCCGCAGCTTCTGCATCTTCAATGTTGTTCTCCCGAAGAGGGTAGAACTGATTGGCATTGAGTACGATACCCATACGCTTTAGGCTGGACAACACCACTCGATTGAGCTCCCTGAACCGTTGCACGGAGTACGCGTGTGACAGGAGCACATTGTGCGCCACCTCGTAGACCAGCGTGGGCGAGTCGTGGAATCCTGGCGGGTGCAGACCCGTGTTGTAGCCGTACACGACGAAGGAAGTGGCTCGTTGAAGGTGGTCCAGAAGTCGACCTTGTCGCCGAATTCGTTGTACAGCTGCGTCGAGTACTCCACGAAGTGGTCGATGATCTCCGGGTTGAGCCATCCCTGAGGGGTGAGCTTGTTGTGCAGCTTCGTGGGCAGGTCCCAGTGGTAAATGGTAAAAATCGGAGAGATGCCGCTCTCAACCAACCTGTCAAGCAACGCGTGGTAGAAGACGAGACCGGGGGCGTGGGCGCATGCGTCGCGCTTCCGGGTCCCAGTTCATTATGCGCGACCACGAGACGAAGAAGCGGAAGGACTGGAGTCCCGTCTCCCCCATGAGCTTGATGTCGTCCGCATAGCGGTGGTAGAAGTCGTCGACGTTGGCGCACTCGAAGCCAGGCTGTTCACGACAAAAGTCGTCCCAAATGCTCGGAGTGCGGCCGTCCTCGTTCCACGCGCCCTCCACCTGGTACGACGCGGTGGCCGACCCGAAGAGGAAATCAGCAGGGAAGCAGCGAGGCTCGGCGGCCGCTGCAGGGGAAGAGAGCAGGGTGACGGTCGCCGCCGCCGCGAGTCCGAGACGGTGCTGCAGCCACATCACTTGAGCTGTGAGTTCGAGGCGGCAACTTCACGAATGAGGCAGGAGCGGATTCGCAAGATCTCGACGAAAGCGTTGGCGCTACTGTAGGGCTGTTTCGTGCAGTGCTCGAAAGTGCACGAAAGTACTTCGGCGCCATTGCTGCCACGAGCACTTACCGGTACTGTGTGCTTGTGGCACATAATATGTCGAACAACATACTAGCTTACCCGGGCGACAAGCGTCCCGGGGGAGGTCGCAGTTCGTAAGGCTAGAAATCTTCATCAAGATCGGGTGATATGTAAGAGCATTAAAAGCGTGTCGTGTGTGCAGTTTGTTAGGTCTTAGTACACTTTAAGCAAAGCATTTTATAGTTTTACATTCCTCCCCAACGATCCTTTCTGGCATATGCCAAGGAATCCAACGCCGAAGGCGGAGGACCGGTGCGTGTAATTAACAGGTATTTAAGTTATTGAGATGCAGCCTGGATTGTCGATCAGGTACGCTTCCAGCGTAGAGCTCCAGTAAGAGATTGGCCAGTTTGGGTGTCGCCGTGAAGGCGAAGTAGCAACTGTAGCTGACCCGAGAATAAAAGAAGGACAAATCTGATTTACGGTACGAAAGGCCACCGGATTGCATGAAATCCCGACGAGAAAAGCCGCCCCACTGGAGACGTCAGCTAATGAGAATAAAATAAGTTCCTACGTGGGGCCTATTATGTACCCTGAAGAACAGCATAATTCAACAAATAGCAGCGTCAATGTTGCGCCAAGCCCGTACAAAGCTTATCAACGTAGGAAAGAGGATGGACAAGCATTCCAGAGCTCTTCGGCATCAAAACTATTTCCTTGTTTCGTGAATCCTTCCACAACAAGCTGTAAATGCACCTTGCATAGGCAACTACATGAAAACAGCGATAGTAGCCATTAAATCAGCGACAACGCTTTCTGTAGACATAAAATTAGGTTATATTGGTTTAAACCAAGTATCAGGTTTTACCAGCCCTGCACGAGACCTTGATGCAATAGTTCTAGTATCGAAGTCATCGTGTGGGCATCGTCTCGATTTCACAAATACCTGCACTAGTGCCAGTGTCAATACCACCATCACGGCTACTCACCACGCCGGGAAGACTGACAACAGCAGTAGATTGATTATCTTCAACCGTGTACGTATCGTCGTGAGAGGAAAATCGTGCGGGGGATAAACACTGACGTTTAGCTCTGCTGGCCCTCTTGCTGCAAAAGCAGCAACCGAACTGTTCGTCACGTGAAATGCGAGAACAGTTAATTTCATTGCACTCAACAACTCGACCAGCACCCCGTTCGTAATGGCTACCTTGTGTGGCACAGTTGATCCCAGTATTAGAGCTTAAGCTCCTCCTCCTCCGTCTCCTAGCAATACCAAGAGCATTAACACGTAAACCTCCAGAATTTTACGTCCCTTCATTTACCACTGCCAGCGCCCCATGTATCCTCACCACACAATGCATAACTGTTACGCCTCGACTGCATCCGATCAGCCGCTTCCTCTGGCCGCTGCTAAGATGCTGCATCAAGTCTTCCTCACCGCGAGACGAGACACAGCGGTACCGCTGTCATCACCGTGGCAATGGCTGCGGTTTCTAGTCATGACGCTTACCCCAACGAGAAAAATCGGAAATGAGGTCGATCAATCTCGCTCCTTCCAAGCCACAGTGATGTCCGAGCTGTCGATTGTTAGACCACAAACTTCAAGCTCGTGGCCGAGTTGTCGATTGTTAGGCCACAAACTTCAAGTTGGATGGTAAGTTTGTGTGGACCACCTGGTTAGTACTCTATACACTTGGTTCTAGTATCAAATGGAAGTCCATAAATAATTCAAGTCAGCTGGCCGATCACTCCAAATTGATTTGTACCGGTATCTGACAAAAACTTCCATGTAACGACAGTTCTAAACGAACTGCGAATTATGTTGTTCGATTGTATTACATTTTCCTGTGGCCCCTTATAACATTCGGTGCGTGTGTCAGAGCACATTACAGACATGCCACAAGCCAGCGTATTACATGCCTGAATGCAGGGTTTTGCGAACTAACTGGACCGGGTCATTCAACATGACTTGTTTTAAGTTTCCATACTCCCATTGGCGTTGTCTATTCGTCCTAATTAATATGGTTCAGACGCTATCAGAGCGCGCGGTATGATCATACTGGCGTATGACCCGCTCGACGAACATGCTATGCCTCCTATCGATCATGCACCACTACCTGCATAGGGCGTGCTCATGTGCATAACTCGGCTAGGCGACCGTGCAGCCATAGCCGTCTAATGGAACCTGCACCGGATCCGAGCACCTTGTGCCTACGAAGGATAAAATGAAGACTGAAATGATGGAGCGTTAGCTACTCACTGCCTGAGCTCCCACCAACACTCACGGGTTCCTACCCGTTCCCATACAACGACCTGCTTTTCTCTGCTTCTCAGCTTTCGTCTCAACTGCCATGACCAGGTCTCAGATATGCATTCCAACACCGTGTTATCATTACTTATTGAGACGACCGTGTTACCATAACTCGGTAAGATTGCCGTGTTACCCAATTATGGTAACACGATCGTGTTGAAGAAGATCGCGTTATCGTAGCTTAGTGGTAGGCAGTTAGGCAACTTATAAATCAAATAATATAATGCTTGTACTTGCCATGGGGGCATGTTTACCGACTCAATACCTTCTAGCCACATAACTTCGTCGAGGGTGCCTGGCATGGAAGGCCTTCGGGCTATATGTGTGCGCCACTTTGACGGACTACATATTCAACATGGCCAAACGCTGCTTTGAAGAATCCGACGCGCGATCGTGTACAGAAGGTGGCGCCTTAGCGGGACGGCATATAACTGATCACCTCTAATAACTACTATCAATTCATAGGATTGTATACTAGTTCTTTATACCCCAACCGCCAATACTAAAATCCCCGTCTATGATGAATATATCAGGTGTCTCTCTAAGGCGCCACCCTCTGTACATTAATGGATCTACAGTCGCCACTTCAGAGTTTGCGCTTGACTTCACCACCACTACAACGAGGGTTGCGAGTACACGAAGCAGGAGCTGCAGGACCGGGGCCAACGTCACTGAGCGGCTCGCGGCTCAGAGCTGGTGTACCGCCGCGTGGGCGCCATCGGCAAGGCTTGGGTACGCCCCAATGGGTTGCAGTTGGCTGCAATGGCTCGCGCCTGCTCTACGCGTGGTAGTATTGCTCCTTACTCCATTGACAAACCGCAGTGCGGACGACGTTTCACTACATCGGAGGTGCAGTGTTGGGCTCCGAGGAGTTGAGCTAGGCCATCGTCATGTTCAGTCTGAACGGCCCTCGGATAGGGTTGGTCGGTAGTGATGGTAATACTCGCTGAATGGCAAACTGGACGAGGCGGCGGCGAACTTCACGATCTGCAATTGTTCGTGAAGAAAACGATCGAGAACCCGACGGCCAGAGTTCTAGTGTACCCCGGGGCGACAAGCAGAAGGGGGAGGCGTTGTATTGCTCAATTGAAGGGGCAAGCCTTTTGACTCGTGGTTTTCTCCTTGTAAGGCTCTAAGACGGTCAAGAGTCGGACCCGGGGCAACATCAACATCAGACTTCCGGGTTATGGTTTGGTCGAATCCAGGCCAGACGCTACAACCTGGCACTATAAGCGGCTACGCTAGGCAGGTTATTGGAGTGCAACACCCATACAGTATTTTGGTTTGCAGTGACGCAGACACCAGTTGAGCAACACTAACAAAACAGTTCTATACGATATTCCCCTTCACTCGATTATGCTTGTGGCTGCTTGTGACTGCTTGTTCACAGCATCCCGAAACACGGAGTTAATTTGACATGTGAGTAGCGACAGCCAATAACACGGCGGCAGGGTGAAAAAGTATTGATTTCATAGCAACAGGAGAAGGCGAGGCCGAGGAGGTTGAAGAGGGTAAACCAGCACATCGTAGCCGGAAACAAATTGTGCTGGATCGCGCGCACGTCCATTTTGCGGTTGCGCAGCTCGAATCCGTTCTCTGCCTTCGCTTTCTCGTGTCGCGGGTGCTTAGTACGGATGGTACCGGTCCGATCGTCCGCCTGATCCTCCTTGAGAACCCGAGCCGCCCTGACGGTAGCCACCGCCATAGGCGTAGCTCCCAGAGCGTAGCCCCCGCCAGCCTGGTCACCCGTGCAGAAAATTTGAAGCCACGCAGCTAGAGTTGACTGAGAAGCGGCAACATGATTCCCGAGTGAAACGAACTCGGCATACAGAGGCAAATACTGCAGCAACGTGTCAATGAACCGTTCAGCAGCAGACTGGAGCAACAGGCTGGAACGATTGAGCAGCAGAGCCAGCTCATCCAGCGCCTCAAAGAAGAGCAGGTTTTTTTTTTCTTGCCTAGCGAGCTTCTGCCGTTGAGCGTGCTGAAGATCATATGCATGCTTAGCATTTACTGAAGAGCAACATATCGGCTCGAGTAAGGAGCCACAAACTCGACGAACAGATAAGAGAACTGTCCGAGACGTCGCAGCTGCTCGCCGAAGACATACTCCAGATGAAGCTCAAGCTAGCAGGACGAGACCAAATGCTACTGAAACGTGGCCAAAAGTATGCGGAGCTTGCTCATGCTTACCGCGTACTGAGTCGGCATGCCCAAGCGATAGAACTATCCGAGCGCGAGCTGGTTGCAGTGCTCATTCCGACCAAGAAGCGACTGGCACTTCTCCGAGACACGCTAACAAGGTTCTGCTACGAGCTGGAGGGGATAAGATAGCAAATGGTGGCGAGTCGCAGTCGGTTAGTGCACCGAGATGACCGGGTACTGATGAATTCGTGACTAACACCTTGGTTCATTTTGCTCTTTAGCGAAGTTTCACTTGTTGCGTGAGGATGGCAAGCGAAATCGAGAGCTGCACAGCCAAAGTGTTTCTGCTAGAAACAGGTACTTCGAAGTAGGAGAGCTACCTGTAGATTAAAGCGAACCCGGAGGAGCACAATCTGACTAACACTTTGCACGGACCAGCTTCAGTCCGTGGTGAGCGCTTCCCGTAGCAGTGAGAAGCGAAAGGAGCAGGCGATATCAGCGGACGGAATCTCAAGCGTGACTTGGTGATCGAGCGCTGCCAACGCACAGAGTACGCTGCATGACACAGCTCGTGGCGCACGCCCAGGAGCTGAGAAGTTCTCAGCAGTCACTGCAGCGCGAGCTAACCAAGTTAGAAATTACCGGCAAGCGGCAGCCTGCCGTTTACGGCTTAAGCTGCATTGCCGATGAAATGCAATCATAGATGAGCTCTGCGCGGAAAACAATCATTAAAGGCGTCGACAGCATGCTGAAAGCGCAGCGCACAGCTTTAAATTGAAGAAAGAACGCATGTCGACGCTACGAATCTATACGCTCTCCATGACAATGTTCGGCGGGTACGCGCTCCCTCCCTTCATCAGCCGGATCGAGTGCTGCTGGTTACGCAGCCGGTCGATCAGCCCCTTCATGACCAAGTTTCTCTCATAAACCTCCTGCTCTCCACAACAACACAAGGATCATCAGAATTCATAGCCACCATAACTTCCATACGCCGATAGTAGCGTGTTCCGCACCTTGCGCAGCTGATTCCTCGTCTGCACGAGCTTCGCCGTCGCGTCCTGCAGCATCAAGAGCAACAGGTCAGACCCCTCCCACTCAACACAGCTAGCAGCCTTCTCTTACCTTGTCGTCCT